AGGCCCTAAGCCCCTAACCCTGAACCTTAACCTTAAATCCTAAACTGTTGTCTCCGTCCTTTACAAAGTGCTGTCGTTTCGAGTTTGCTGTCTTGTTCGAAATTCACTCAACATCTTGATTGGTTTATTGCTGTTTGGGGTCTTCGCTGGTGTAATTCATATCGTGGCCGCGGATTCGTGATGACCGATTGATATAAACACGGTCACCGACGGCAGCAGTAGCGTCAATGATATGCACAACGTGTGGGCAATGCGTGTCGAGACGCTGCTGCAAGGGTTCCCGCAGCTTGGAATGCTGGGTCGGGCGGTGAAGATGATGGGATCTCGCGGTCTTTTTCTCGCGAGAGCGGGGGGCATCGTCAGCTCGGGGGCAGGAACCTACCTCCAAGAGTCAGAGATTGAGAAAATGTGTGTGTCTACATTCCCTGGAACTGCGCACCAAAGCTGCATAGCTGTGCCAGAGACCCAAAACCGATCACAGACCCTAGGAGGCTCCGGTTTCTACGCAGACGATGTACTCGGGGTAGACGGCCGCACCGTCAAAGACCACAAACTCACGATGAAACTGCTGGCCATGCGGATGGCCCTTCATGGCGCCGGGATTGGCAATCACGGAACAATGGCCCTCCGGATCTGGCTTCCTCGTCAGGGCCAGTCTAAAGTAGCGGTGTAGTCGTCATAGACGCGGTAAGTAGTAGCAAAAGCACTGGCGGTTCTAGTTGTGACTTAGCAGTCGACGTCATCAATGGAAGTCATTGCCGTCGTGGTTCTTGGTAGTGGTAGCCGTGGTGCTGGGAGTGAGCGCATTCGGGGCATACTGTTGCGATGTTGCCCCTGGCGAGTCAAACTTTCAAACCGTCTGTCGTGCTGGGCGTCTTGAACTGGCAGCTGCTTCACGATGTAGCGGAATGCAACTAAATTGCCCGGAGTCTTCTCTCTTCTCTCTCCCACTCTGCCGTTGCATCCAGAGGGTCTAGCAGCCCGAAGTCTTGCGATTTGCAGCTGGGCCGGAAGCATTGAAAGGTCGCAGTTTTCGGATCTTTGGGTTGCGGTTTCCCCGTTAAACTTTTGGGACTTGCAGCAGAGGCTCTCGACCAGATCCTGGTAGGACTTGAGGTTTCTCAAGCTCCGCAAGGACCTCCTGGGTTTGGGAATCTCGGAACCTATAACCATAACCTAAGCAACAAACAGCAAAAGACGCTCTCTTAAATTAAAGTGGCTCCTGGATAGAAGGCATGTCAATTACGATTTATCCGTCTCAAAGTAACCCTGAACCCTTAGCACGGCCCAGCTGCAATGCATCCTTTGTGTAGTAGGGTCGCCCGAGAACCACACGGCAGAACAGAAGATGGCGGGGGCCCTCCTGTCGTCTTGGAGCATGTAAGAAGAAATGGGTTTAGGGTTGCGCCGCTCACACTCGGACACCCCAGGCGATGCATGTGGTTCATGGTCTGCTGAGTGAACCCAAGATGATGCAAGCATGCTCACAACAATTGTATCAGTAGTAAAACCCTGCTAAGGGGGGACTTGTTCACGGGGGACCAGATTCTACTTTAGTCACTCCCTGTTGCCCAGTTGCGTTCCTCGACATGACAAACTAGCAGAGCGACATTTCGAGACCCCCGAACAGCCGGCGAAGCCCATGAAGTCTTAGCAGAGCACGTAAACATGCCCGAATGCCTGGTCGGAATACTGCAGGGCTTTGCAAGCCTCGTCGGAAAAATAGATGCCGGCTCCATACAGGCCTCAAGAGCTCAAACTTTCACTGCCGGGGCCTTTCTTAAGGCTTCTGCTTCAAGACCGGGGCGTTCACAACTCACATGGCCTTCTTGCCGATGCTACTGTGAATTACGTTTTGCGTTTCGGCTAGATTGGGATGTGGGGCATTGCGTGTTATTGTCATGCGGGGCTTTACAAAGGTGTCGGCTTATTATTGTGGGCTCACACATGGGTACAGTTGCGTTGGTGCCATGGTTCTATCTATCGTCCTACTTCTGGACACGATGATAACATGCGCCCACAAGCGTCACCTGAATCAGTTTGAAATGCTCTCTGCCCAGCACGGATACGAGGCAGAGCCTGTACGGAGGAAACTTCAGTTCTATGCCCCGCACCATACTCCCTGTAAGCACCGTAATATGTAGGCATTCCCAGAAGCTGTCGCCGCAGCCTTCACTCTTGGCTAGCATTCAGCTGGATCGGATCAAGGTTGCAAATCCCTCCAAAGCCCTGTAAATAACACGGCATCCCGGCCAAATAACAAGTATGCACCCCAACGCGCCACTCATCGGCTGATGCTTACTGGCCGAAGCGTCGCCTGGGCCAAGCAGTCCTGCCCTCCATTCCACACCGTCCTCTGTAGTTTAGCCTTCCCTCAATAAACATTACAAAGCACCTAGACCTGAACACTCTGAGACCCCATGGGGAGCTGATCGGTGCCTTCGAGGCGGCTCAGGTGCTCGTCGAGGCCCTCCCGGACGATGGCCTCCGCTCTGCGAGCAAAGCAAAAGCAAAGACAAAAGGACAGCTGTGCAGAATCGCAAAGTTGAGTTCGAGGGCATTTTGCATCCCCCATTTCACAATGATGCCATGATTTTCCGATAATGTCAGGCTTCTGCTCTGATGCCTTTGAGGCTTCGGGGTTCAATGCAGAGCCGAAACCCTAAACCATGGAAACTGCACACACACAAAACAAAAGAGGACAATACCAAATTCCCTCGCATAACGAGAAGCCGTGGTCTGTGCACCACATACATTATATGCGAGTAGGATGGCTCCGTGACCCTCTCATCTACAGGCACCTGCCCATTCGTCGGAAAAAGCAAAGTCAAGCGCATTCAACATGTTGCTGTGACTGCGAGAAACACTACGTGCACCGGATTGAACGGAAAAAGCAGTGTCACGGACGTCAAACCTGCCAAATAAACGACTGCGACAGCCGCACGACATATGCATACCCAGCAACTGCATATCTCAACGCGAAACAGATCCAAAGCCGCAACCTTTCCATCTGACTCCTCTGCTGTCCTAAACGAGCAACGGACGACTGTCGGTCCACTCGACGTCGTCCTTCGCGCAGATTTGAACCTGGCAGGACTGTGGCACATCTGCTTTAGATTATACGCGTCTCGTGAAACATATTGAAACATGAAGAAACAAACGGAAAGATGCATAGATGGTGAAGTGGATACATGCACAACTGCATGTGTGTGTCTGGCCGTGCGCCCCTTACAGCCCTAAACCCTGCCCAACCTCCAGCTGATGGGCTCCGCGGAGCCGAACCCGGATCACGCCGACCTGGACAGATCGGCACTGTTGGCCTTCGAGCTCAAGAGCACGGTTGTTCAATCCCAAACCCGCTCTGTTGAGTGCTGAAGTGATATGGTTCCACATAGCACAACCAAACAGAGCAGCCAAAACGAACTACAAGTGTTCAGAACTTCCCTACATAAGTCTGCTGTCTGAAGGGGCGTCTTCATCCGCCATGTCCATCCAGCGCACCTCGCGGGCTACTCTCTGCCGGGGTAGCAAGTCCCTGAACCAAACACAAAAGGAACCTGAATGACTAGGCTCGTGCTGTGGATGTAAAAATGTTAACGGAGTTTCTACAGCATCACAACAGCATTCAGGCTACCCGCTACACTGGTCCGAAAGCAAGCACCTCCTCGAAGGACTTTACGAGGCAGGCCGGCGTCAGCGCAAATCTATTCCCTTCCTCGGCACAAAAGGGGCAGGACATGAGGGCGCCGAGCTTGGCATCACCTTGTTTTGGCTGAGATTTGGAGTTTTTACTTCCGATCTTGTTCGAGACTTCGGGCTGAAAGATGTCTGGCCGTTACACCGCAAAGCACTGTTGCTGTGGAGGATCGTGGAAACATGGTTATCAGTTCTAGTTAGAGAAAGTCAACACCAGTACCAGCACAAACAACCACAGCAAGCAATACCAACGAAAAAACCATGCGAAGCAGAAGGACTGCGACAAGAGCACAGTAATTGTAGTCATGATGCCAAACCGCACAGACACCCCTCCTACTGCAAGAACACAACAGCAGTGCAGGCTTCTTGGGACTGCTACCTGCTACAGGTTGATGCATATCTGAAGTCCTCCCAGCTGCATCATCAATAAATGGCTCCCAGTGCGACTCCTGGGCTGGGTGCTCAGGCACCATGCTGCCCAGACTGCAAACAGCAAAACAAGCTGCTAAACGAAAGACGCATTGTCCTTTGCATCTGCTGCTGAAATTAGTTGTTTGCTGTTGTCGCCGTCGTCGTTCTCGCCTAGATGGCGGTAGCATCGTTTCAACCACGACTCAGTGACAACGGCTTGCACGTCAATACTTGAAAGACTCGAGGCGGCCTGCAGTGCCGTTCTTCGAGGGACATTCTGCACCAGCTCAGGCTCCTCCTCGAAATGGCGGCCGAGAATCTGGAGCATCGGGCGTTCTTGCATAGACAGTCCCCTGCCACGGGGCATCTTCGCACCACATTGATTCGGTGTCCCACATGAGAAACTGCAGTGCAACAAAAGGCTGCAAAAAGGTGGCCACTGCTGAATTGCTTATAAAGGTCTTTGTTGTGAGCACAGCTTCTTGCTCCGCAGCTTTACAGGCAAGAAGCTAAAGCAGGCACATGTCAAACTTTAAGACTCGACTCGCGCCAAAAGTTTCCGCTCTTAAAATCCCACAGATTGCATTCTTCACATCTGCCGGTGCTCCATGAAGAGCTGCCCAGCTCCAGTGGCTTGGACATCAGTTTTTCTACAACAGAACTGTTTGTGTCCCTTTGTGCCTCACCTATTTGTGGCTGAATCTGTGGCCAGACATTGGGGTTAAGAACTCAACGCAACCAAAAATTCTGTTGACAAGCCAAAGCCGCCCCGCCAAGGACGTGAGGTTCCCAAATTTTGCCCTAAAGGCCAAATGCTTCACTGCTTGGTGGTTGCGCCTGCCACCATTCAGCAAGGCTGCCCTCCGCATCCATCCGCTTCAGACATCCCGTCCTCAGGCACGTGGTGCCAGTGGCCAGGATCTGCTACCGCGTTTTGGAAGTGCGGAATTCATCCAGAGACCCATGAAGAAGACTACAGGAAACATCAATTTGCCTGCAATTTCTGCTTCAGTAGAATCACCGAGCAGAATCCTGCCGGTTCCCCTTCCAAACCCGGTGAGGGCTTGGCCGAGGCTCAGGAAGCCTCCGCGCTGCGGGGCCTCGCAGTACCGGCAGCTGTCCGTGTCCACGGTGTCCGGGCGAATCCATAAGTGGCCCTGCCGAGCTGTCCAAGACTGAAGCGGAGTTCGTGGCATGAGAGTTCGAGGCTCAAGCTGCAGGGAATAGAGTATCCCGGCCCTATCCCCGAGTTTTGTGTGAGGGTCTTAGAAGCTTCTAATGCTAGTCTTCGAAGGTACTAATCTCAGCGTAGCCTAAGGCATCGAGTCATAGCAGCTTCCGTCGGCCTGGCGGTTGCACCAGAGGCCATTCACGGAGCTTGGGCCCCACAGGCTCTCCCCAGGCACCTTGCTGACCAACTGGTCATACCTTGTCCAAAAAAAGCAAAAGAGTGGCGGGCTGTTCCAGGGTTTCGCTACGCTTTCTCTCAAGGTTTGATGTGGATTTCCGGCCACTCTAGAGTCTAGAGCCAGGCCAGCAATGATGAAATTCTGTGATCATGTTGCCTGGCCATCAAGACCGAAGATCGTCGCAAGCAAGGCTTGCGCGTGAGCACAGACCCCACAGTACCGAACACATTTCAACAGACAGCGTCGTTTTGAAACTCTTAAACCTCGAAACCCTCAACATTCCTCGACCGACCCTCAAGCCCGGAACACTCAAAAGCAGCCCAAAAGAACTCCGACTTCTCGGAAGTGCCTCGCGGCCCTCGGGCGCGGATCCAGGTTCTCCCACTGAACCCAGAAGCTGCCGTCGGAAGTGAGGCCTACGCGAGGCGTGCGAGAGGTTTAAAGCTCTCGGGGCTTTCGGTGTGGGTTTAGGGCTAGGGACAGAGGGCTTTGGCAGGAGGGGGTGGGGGAAGGGGGTCGGGTTTTTGGGGATTTGTGGATGTCGGGTTGGTCAAGTTCGGGCGGGTGTTTGACAGAAGTGCTCTTTGTGTTGTGGTGGACTTTCTGGGTTCACAAGGTCTTGGTTCGCATCGGGCAGCAAGGTTTGGGCGTCCTCCATTACAGTCTTCGTCGTCGTAACTGGCTGTCTGCAACCAACCTGGACTACTTAGGATCGATGAGCCAATGAAAATTCGGTGTAGTGGGATCAACGCAACACCAGAAACTCGAAGATGCTCCCAACGCAAAATTAACGATAGCAGAAAAGCACCTTCCGAAACAGAAAGCGTCACTGGCAGAGTCCTTGAAGTTTGATGGCTCTGACTCCGTGTAAGACTAAGCCGTGCCGTGATGTAGACAACTCCGTTGACCGCACGACTCCAAGTGCCCGAATGACAACAGCACGCTGTCTGCAACCCCAACCCTTTTCCTGGAACAAGATACATGTTCGGATGACGGTACATGGACATCACACTGTATTAGCAATGATTGCGGTAATTCTTGGTGGTGCTGTTGCAGTGCTAGCTTCTTTTTGCGTGGCTTCGTACTAGTGGGTTCCTCAGCATGGAGTTGCTTCGAGGTCGAGCCTGTGAGCTAACGAGCACATCCACACTGAGCGCAGCTGGAGTTTGGGACATATGGTGGGGTATGTATAGACGTTCTGTCTGTAAGGTTCTAAATTCAGCAACCACTGCGGCAACAGTGCTAACCTTTTGATGAAACTCTAGATGCTTATGAAGGGGTTCTTTCAGGTTTCAAGCGCTGTGTGTTTGGAGGGCTCCTGTCCAGGTGTAAAGCGGGAAAACCTTTCAAGCTTAACCACATCGTTACGCCGGGGGCGAAAACTGGAACTCAAAACTACTTCGTGGACGGAGAGCATGACGACCCCAGGCGGGCGCTTCACAGCCGTGTGGAAGGTCCTGGCGGCGCGGGGCTGTAAGAATTAATACCGTGCTATGGAATTCTCGAGGATACAATGGTAATCCTCTTTACGAATATACCCGAGGGGCCCTGCGTGCTCGTGAAATCCAAGAAAGACAGGAGGAAGGTGAAATGGCGAGCTAACCATTCGTTAGGCGTGCGATAAGAAATTAAATGGACCTGCAGAGCGAAAACGACGTCAGTCGACACCCGCAGCCTTGACATCGCAATCAAACATGCCTAAGTCGCCGAACCCTGTCCCTTTTCTGTCTTTCCTGAACCTTACGAGTATCCAGTACTGTAATGGAAGGCGTCCAGCAGGGGCCTTTCAGTGTGCGATGCCTGCGATGCAGTGGTACGGTATACGGCTGAAGAACGGCAGACAAGGGCTGTCGCCGCTAAGATGGAAACCTCAAAGGGCCAGAACTGCTGTGGGGTTCCAGTCGCCTGGGGACTTGCCCGGTAGCATCGCATAGACCATGTAGCGAATGTGCATCCACATCTTGCCTCCGAAACCTTCTTGGGATGCTGCCGCCGCCTAGGAGCAGACAAAACAGGCCGCGGCCTCTACTAACTAGTGATTGATAGTCTTGCTAACCTGTGATGGGGATCCGAATTATCCTCTGCCTCTGGAAAACCAGTGACCTGACAGTTCAATGCACTTCGCAGAATCCTTTCGAACATGTTGCTTTGGAGTCTGAAGAAATTAAAGCAATTGGTCCTCACTTGCCGGCCGTGGCTGCTCGTCATCTGACCCCCACCTCACCGAGGTCAAGGGTTTCGCCGCTTTGGGTTCCAAAGTAGCTTCAAAAAAGATCTTAAACCCTCAACCTTAATGATGTGAGAATGATATCGGGAGACTTCAGCAGATACTGCTGAGCCCAAGTTGCGCCTAGGCGACTACCTTCGGCAGAAACGTTAAACGGCCTACACGGCTGGAGTGACACCTTACATTGAGGAGAACCTGAAACCTGAAACGGTCGACTATGGGATCTTGGGCTTTGGATGATGTTGAAACCTGGAAGTTTCGGACCGTCTGATAGTTTCCCACATCGACTGCGTTTCGCAGCCGGGGGTTCGATCTACCACTGCACCAGCTGTGGGGCCACATTCGTGGAGCATGGTTCAGTTTAAGAGGCTGCGCAGCAATTCCTGCGAACAACCCAAACAAGAAAACCCGACACTGCTGTTGCCCCATAAATAACCCGACAACAAGAAACCATAACGCACTCAGTACCCTCTCAAGCCTTTTATACATGTCCATTCCGACCATGTTGAGAGGCCTTGCAACGGATCCAAGCATGCCACGATGCATACTGCGAGGGTTCCTTCGGCAGCTTCACAATCTAGTATGAAAACAAGACATGCAAATGAAACCTTATGAAATCTGGTACAACCCTGGAAAGACTCACATGGTTCCGAAGTCGGACTAACCGAAGTGCTTCGGCAACATTCGAAACAAAACCAACCACAATAACGTTTCCAGTCTTTGTTTCATGTAAAAAATTCGAAAGCTAGATCTTCAACTCTGGGACCTCGACACAGAACCCTGAACCTTCAATGCGCAAATGACCAGGCAAGGCTCTCAGATGCAGAGTCCGGCACCGGCGGCAAAAGCTCCGACAACCCCTCCATCGGCGTCTGTATACCAATACCACGAAATAGGTTAACTGGCACGCTGAAGCAAACATGAAGCAATCAACTTGAGCCTGTGCATTCGTGTCCTGTCAAAAATCTTGGGGCCTTATGTCGAGGGTTCCCAAGCTTCTGGTCTTGAGCCAATGGAATCCACTTTGCAAACTCCGATCAGCCCAAACGCTCCAACTCCATGACAAACGGATAGCTGCATCGTGAAGTTGAGAAACAATACCAAGGTTATGTAGATTTCTACAACAGAGACAGGGGTCCAGAGATGGGGGCTTTTTGCCGTCAGCGGCAGCTTTTAGCATATCCGTCATGAAACAGATCGCAAGCCGTCGAATTAAGAATGCACGCCAAGTTTGAATGATCATGCGCCATTTTAATACTGTGACGGCTTAAGGTGCTGTCGATGTCCGGTATGGTTGAAGCTTCAACCGCTGGAGCATCGTCGGCTTTAGAGCTGAGTAGCCGCATTGCCTGAAAGGATGTGGCACACAACATATCAACATTGCAATCGCTGAAGAAATCCCACTTCGTGGCCTTCGAAAGTTTGGATGAACCTGGGCTTTTGAGCTGCGGGAATGTGGACCTTCGAAAGTTTGGATGAACCTGGGCTTTTGAGCTGCAGGAATGTGGATTGCAACTGGCTGGCGTAGCACCTTTTGAACGTACTGCTTCTGAAACCCTAAAAATCGCGGCCCGAATGCCCTCATGGCCGATCAGAGCGCCCTGCAGCTCCCCCAAGCCTCAAATGATTCTGGGCAGGCGAACTTTGATGTAGGATGCAAGCTGAAGGATGTGGGCAACAGATTGCACAAGAGCTCACGCAGCCCAGCATCATGATTTATTTCTTTTGGCGCAGGTGATGCTCAGTCGACAACATGCGTACTTTGCAGCGAAAGAGCAGCAGCATCCTCTAATTTATTTAACTCCGTAAGCACCACGACCGGAAACCCTAACGCAAGGTCCGAACGTAAGAAGGTTAGGGTATCGGATCATCCAGCAAAAAATAGCGTGAGTTTGGCTCAGGCAAAGGCGGCATTTAGCTGTTCATGGGCGATCTAGGATTCGGGGTGCGAGCACAGGCCGGCGAGTGCGGCTCAGGTGCCCGACAAAGCAGTGTGCGGCGCCAGAGCACTTCCGCCTGAGCGTAAGCCGATTGTTTCGGTAGTGCGGAGCCTGAGTGCCGAGACCATGCCGAGACCACTATCATTCCCAAACTTGTTTCATATCTGCATTTAGGAACCAGAATGAATCCTCCTGTGCAAGTCTCTTGTCCAACTTAGCATCACCGAAAGAACTCTGTTGAGAATGTTGAAGCTGTAGAAATATGCCCGAAATGCACCAAACTCCAGCGACCCGTGTGCCGCTGGTTGCCAGGCCAAGGAACCACCGGCCGAGCCCAGCTCACGGCGCATCCTCCAATACTAGTTACTATACCCCAACCTCTAATCTGACTCCGCAGGCCCCAAGGATGTGCACACTTGCATACAAGGGGTTATAGGAAGGGAGTTCGCATTTGAGAAGCTAGGGAAAGATCCTGCGCAACCAAACTGGGTCGACTGGGTCGTTAAAGATTGAGGGGTCGTGTGAGCTGACGCAAAAACCGTACTCGCTGCTATCATTCTTTCAATACCTACGTATAGGGAATACGAGGGGATATTACCACCGTGTGCTGAACATTTAAACGTACATATATATATATATATGGCGACCTTCGTGTTGAAACAGGGAAGCAGCCCCAGGGCTCAAATCTACGACCAGGATGTACAACACGCTCTCTGGAGTCACCTGGACTCAACGAGACATACCTGTTTAGTAAAGATGACCTAAAAAAAGGCTATCGCCAAACAGTGGTAGGTGCCCACGGTAAGTACCCCATCGGCTCCAACACCGTCTCACTTTCGTATAGTCTTCGGGTGCAATCGTCTTTAAGAAAGAATCGAGGCCGCGGGGCCTTGACAAACCATGCACTGAAGCCCGCAAACCATAAATCTTTAACCCACTTAATAGGACACCTTGTAATTCGGGTTTTTGGTTTTCTTTAGGTATGTCAGAGCATCATCATTCAAGGACTTGAGGGGGAATGGTACCACATGGCACTTTCAAGCGAAGCCTACAAGCTGCTACTACGAGGCACTAACACGAACCTCGACCCCACATCCCTAATCCCTAGACCCAAGCACCCTACTGAACCCTAAAGAATACTTCTGACAAGAGACCTCCGCCGAGGCGACAGCTCCTGCAGCTTCACTACCTAGACGTTGTTTTTTTTGGCCCCCTCCTGGCTAGGACGAACCTGCGATGCCCTAGATCTTATTCAGACTTCTGGATAACGTGTTTTATGCCTAAGACCCTACAATAAAGAAACCAAGATGGTCAAAAATATCTGAATTGCACTAGGTTCCTTTTAGGATATGACTGCGGGTATAGGGGTGCAACGTCCATAGTACCTATCCATATAGTTCGTCCATGAACACCTATATAGGAAATCCCTTAATGTCCAAGTATATACTACACAGGTAGATGGAGCCTTGACGTTAATCTTTGCGGTTTAACGTGTTGAGGTTTTATGAGGATCACTGCAACGAGGACCCCATTGAATCTTATTGCCATTGATTCGGACCCCTGTTTTAACATGCGGGACTGAGTCCGAGCAAGAAACACGTCAAGCTTCAACCGCAAACGATGCCCCGAACCCTGAACTTGGGGTGTCGGGTACATGCGCACGCAAACGGTAAATACACACATAATATACATGATTGTCATGTGAAAATGTACACATGCATCTGTTGGTTGTGCGGATTGATCTTTTCTTCGTCGACATCTGCATACAGGCCTTGTTTACGAACCTGTCTATCTTCGTGCGTGTTTACAAGTCCATGCCTCACTGGACCAACGCATGCATGTAGCCGCACGTCTGTCTACGCTGCATGTAGGCTGGAAGTCTGTTAACGCCTTCCCGACACAAACACTTTAGACTCGCACAGTCCTATGCCCTAAACATCTTCAACTCTTCATAGCACACACAACACTAGACTCTCAAGCCAACTAAAGGTTAACGTGCTCAGACTTACTTGTGTAGCTTTCTTGGTTGCCCAACCTTGCATGTTCCACTGCTTGCCAGGCCAGCATGATACATAGATGCATGTACACACGCACAGACCCACAGATGACATAAACAAGTAATAGCAAGCAGGTAGCTGGGTGTCATGTCGAGAAAAGAAACAAGCCCCATTTCACGAAATTCCCACTTGACATAACTCTCATGACTACAACTTCAGGCTGGGCCGGAGTACGAATATGACGACATTGTTTCAGTGCAGTATGTGAGCCACCAGAACAGCAGAGTTACATCAGATACGTGTGCAGACAGCATGCAACGACTGCATGTTTATGAGGGCCCCACATCCTTCACAAGAACGACACAAGAATCGAAACCCTCCACGTTCCAGTGCCGCTAGCTTCAGGACAACGTCGGATGCGACCTCGTCATCCTGAGCCCCTGTAAGCCTATTCCCAGACCTTGACGAGAAAATGGCAAGCAAGTGTGCGAGCTGTCATGGACGCGAAATCACAAAGGGATTTATCACCGGATTAGTTATAGCACAAATGACTCAGCACGTCTGGATTGGCGAAATGGCAAACCTGTTCAATGTCCCGTAAGCCTCTTCACGGAAGCCACTTGCACCCAAATACCTTTGAACCCACAACGCACAATCCCCAGAATCCGAAACTTGTACACGCAAACACTAATCCTCAAGCCCTTGTTTTGGCCGTCATCATCACGTATCCAAGACTCAATCACTCGCCGTCTTCGTCGTCTCTGAAGGACACGTGCATCCTGGGTGGGGCGTTCTTGCAGCAAACCGCTGAAGTTTTCGAGCGTTCAGTCGTTTTGGCTTTGCCGCCTCCTTCTGCCACGATGCTGAGCTGCCGGCACTATACCACCTGCACCACTCCTACTATTGGCGCTGGAAAGCATGCTGCCTTGACAAGTCTGTCTTACAAGCTGGGCTATCCACCAATTTGAAGCCCTCAGTACTTACGCCTCACCGTAGCCACAACCCGACATTGCAATTGCAAAGAAATTACGAGTAAGACCAACGTCAACCGAAGTTACAACCAAGGCGCGCGCGGTCCCGGATCTTGTTGCGGCAGCGTAGCCAAAGTTGAGGTGGGCAGGTGCTGCTGGTCGATGGACTGAGCACGGCATCGGATGTAGGGTGTGGAGCTCGGGCATCGCCACAAGACAAGTGCCGAGTACCCCCCAAGCCACAAACTGTCGTCGTAACAGCTGTAGTCGGCAGTCTGCTAGAAATTTGGGCTGCAAGCATGGATGCATGCATGTGACAGGTGAAACAGACAGTCAGCAGCAGGCGGCAGCAGCAGCAGCAGCACCGTAGCAGTGGAATGCCAACCGGTTGACAACAAAAACGACGAGAACACCACCACAACCACCACCACCACCACCAACAACACCAACAACAAGACCACGACGACTACGCGACAATGACGACGTGACTACCATCCTCAACGCCACCACCAACAACACCACAGAGACAGCCATCCTCACCACCAACCACAGCAAGAGCGAACAAAAAGGTGGGCAACAAGGAACCACATCAGGTTAAGCCGAAGGGCTCAACGCCGGGCCAGCTCGGCCCAAGAAATTTCTTGGGCCGGCACCGTAGTTGCCGGTAACGTCGGCAAAAAAAGCAGTTCTAAATTGAGCGCGGGCCTGCGAAAATACACAGGAACATCTCATCTGATGTGATTCGTATGTCAATGCAGACGCAGGCGCACCCACGCAGACGCAGACGACACCCTCACCCGCACACGCAAGCACACGCACAGGCAAATGCCTTCACAAGAAAAGGCCGATCGAACCACTTCTACTCTATTCGCCCTTTTGGGCCTGCAAGCGCCGAGTTCGTTGTGGGTTATTCTTGCCCGAGATCGAACCTTCAACCTAAACTAACAACCCTATATCA